CAATGTACAGAGTATATTTTATTTATTTTTAAAAAACAAACAATCAACCTGTAAGCTCTAAAAAAAAAAAAAAAAAAAAAAAAAAAAAAAAACACACAACTTACTGGGCGTTTCATCCCTCCACCATCTACCTACAACTAAAAGTCTGATTTAGGTGGACTGAAATTAGAAATAAAGAGAAACCAAAAACATAACATGTACCTCTGATGACACTGGAGATGAGGGTGACACATCTGCACTATCACTGTTTTGCTAAAATGAAATGAAAACAAAAAAAAAGGAAAAAATAAATGTTACCAGAATGTAGAAAATCTAAGTTACCAGGCAGTAGACCAGGCGGCTAACTATGTATATGTTTAGGCCTGGTTCACACCTACGAGATGTATTGCATGGATTTAGCCGCACAAATTTGCGCAAAACACAGATTTGCGTTCAAGTCAATGGAAGCTGTTTACACTTTAGCGTTGGGTCGCACGGGCAAAATCGCCTGTCACGCAAAAAGGTGCAGGAGCAATTTTGGGCTGGTTTTGGTCCCATAGACACCTCCACGGAGAGGAAACAGCGAGATTTCCGCAAAACAAAAATTGTTTAAAAGAAATGCGCAAAAACAGGTCAGAAATGCATTCACGTAGGTGTGAACCAGGCCTTAATTTGCATTGGTTTCTGAAATTTCTATTTTAGGTACATTCAATAACCAATAGCAGATTCTAAAGAACAACTTGGTTTAACATGAGGAAACATTTTATCAACAACAACAGTTGACATCTCACTGCTGTGCTTCCGCTTGTTATATGCAACTTTTTAAATCACGTACTGGTGTACCCAAACAGTAAGGGGGATGCATTTCTATTTTGTTTACATGGTATAACTATAAATAGGCAATGTATATTTGTAAACTATATTGAAATGTATATATTTAGTGAATGAATAACTAAATACGGAAGACTGCATTGAAAAATGTCTATTTCCTGACGACTGTATACTCCAGATTGCAGGTGTTTTTAATATACAGGGTCATGGTATAGGGAATGTTATCAATATAATTATGATGAATATAATCATGAAGACGCATTAACTCATTTGGTTTTGAGTTTAATATTCCACTTAGCCAGTGGTGCGTCCCGTATTTATACAGTAAGTAATCATGAAAAATTGTTATAATGTATTTTCTGTAGAGGCATTATATCTTCAGCTCAGACAATTTATAGGATTCTCTAGTTGTGCAACATGGTTTAAGTAAAACATGGCATGCAATGGTTGACGAACGATTGATATATATGGAAAGACAAATGGTTAACTGTGTAAATATAATGATATCACTGCAGAATGAATATAATTATACTATATATAACGGAAAACTGTATACTTACCTATCGGTAATTTTCCTTTCCTGATGCCAATCCATGGCAGCACACAACGGGTATGGCTCCGCCCCCAGCCCAATCACAGGACCAGTTATACTATAAATTAAAGCCCGCCTCCCAAGGCCACCATTCTCGAATAATCACACACACACATATACACACACATACGCACAGATATCTATAGGTATCCAATTCCTAAATAGACATACACATATACACACAGGGCTTGAAAAATTTGATAGTGTCTCACCAGTCAGTCAAAAATTACTATACATTTAAAAAAGTACCATAAATGTAAAAAAAACCAAAAAAGTTTCCCTACGGTATGTTATAAAACATTTATTCTTACCCATATTTTTAGTAAAACATAAAAGTCAGGGTCACGTCGGGTAAATAGACACCAAACATGTCAAGCCTTAAAATTGCGTGCGCTCGCAAAAAAACGCCCAAAACGATTACAACGCTTTTACTGTTCATCAGTTTAGTGTTATCAGTGATTAAAGGAGAATCAGTGATTAAAACTGATACAAGCGATCGAGCGTCTTTAGAGATGCTCGATCGCTTGAATGTAAAGCTCCCGGCCGGCCGTGTAATTACAACGGCTGGCCGGGAAGCTGCTCGTCGGGCTCCACCGTCCGTTTGTCACAGACAAGTGGATTTTTCGAGCCCTGAGAGATAGATAGATATATATCTATCACACACACATACGCACAGATATCTATAGGTATCCAATTCCTAAATAGACATTTCTTGGCAGATGATGCATCAATGACCCATCATTTTGTAATTCCTTTGTTTTTGGCAAAATGTTAAAGCAAAGCTATTAGTCCTTTTCAATTTTTAAAAGTAAACAGATAAAGAAAACCTCCAAACATCCTCTGTGCACCTCCAAGCCCAGGGTGCACAAAGATAATAGTGAGCCCATTGTAGTGCCTGGTTTTAGGCATGACATGTACCAATAAAAAAAGTTTAAAAAGGCTCACAGTTTACACTTGAAAATGTATCTGCATTTCTTAACAAGATAAAGTTCAGTATCCAAGCAGTTAACCTCCAATTTGGCACCTGCACTGTATTCTGGGAGGCTTACCAGAACGTTTGCTAAAATCAGATTAATGTGTGCACACTGCACCTTTTTCCAGTACCAATGAGCCCCCAGGAACAAAGAAGGCTGTTTTCTGACATCTGAAAGTGCAAACGCACCTCCCGATAAGTCAAACGCCATCTTTGCATTAGGTCCCGTAAGTAATCAAACATTAGTAACTAAACACAGCCCCCCCATAACATAAGAGGAAATATGTTCTCTGTAAAAATGATAACAATCAGGGGAATCATCAATTCACGTTTTAAAAGGATATGTAAACATAGCCAGTCACTTTTGGGCTTGTGTGAGAAATCGAATATTTCAAAGCACTGTTTTCTGGCACTGGAATCTTACAGCTGTATGATTTCACAGAGGCTTCTGGAGATTTATATTTGCTAAATATTCAGATTTGTCCCTCAGCTTGGTTGTGGCGGGGCCCCCTGAAGTGTTATCAACCCTTATGTGGGATTTTTTTTTCTTTTTTTTGCCCACACTGTTCAGGATTTTAGTACAGCTTTTTAAGCAGACATGAGGAAATAGGCATGTATTGTAGAGATGAACAGAATATGTATTTTAATTTGCCCAGACATACACTTTAAGCATTAGAAGCCAGATAGTCCTGAAATCAGTTATGTCCCAAGTAATATGATTTTTTTTTATTCACCATTAAATCCTCTTCCCTGGTGTCCATTGGGGGACAGTCTTCCACCTACAGGACATCCAAAAGCAGTCCATATAAAAGTAGGCAACATAGAAAACAAAAACAAGCCCAAGAAAACAGAAAACTGGAGACTGCCTACAGCTCAGAACCACCTGAAGGACCTTCTGACAAAAGTTGGCATCAGATGAGGCCGCAGCATTCACCTGGTAGAACTTAAAGAATGTGTGAACAGATCAGGTGGCAGACCTGCAAATCTAGAAAACGGTTGCATCACTCTGGAAACTGGGGGCACACCCTTATGATGAAAAAGGGTTGTTTGAGGATTCAAACTCACAGGTGGACTGGGGGCCAAGCTTGGGAGGCCTGGTGCCAGAGTGAAGAAATAGAAAAGATATTTAACAGATTGCAAGCAAGAAGACTTCTTTCTCTGCTTAGGAAAATGGGTACTCTTGGCACCAGTAGTATTCTTGATCATGGTATCCAGAGTAGATCCAAACACATCTTTCAAAGTCCATGCACTTCATAAGCTTTTTAGACATGGGTTCTGCAGTCCATCACTTTAACCAAAGTGTGCTGAACATGGGTATAGACAGAAGATCCATGCTAGAAGATGTCTTTTAAGGGACTTTGACCAGTCAGCCAGGGTCTGGCCAAGTAAGGTCAAAGCTAAGATGGGCCTGCAAGTGAGAACAGAGCTCTAGAAGAGGTTGCATACATTTATCGTCTGGGAACCTGAAGACAGGTGCATAGTGATTTGTTAGGATGGGATACTGCTGGATCCACAATGGGGAGTCTTGGGGACTCTAAAAGACCCATAACTGGGAATAGCACTGGTCCAAACAACAGGCTGATCTAATTAAATCGATTTCTGAACGTTTGTTTCAACTTTCTAATCGTTGATGGGGTCAAATTGATGATCAATTTCAACCACAGTGATGAAACTTTTTTTAAAAGCAGGTTGAAAAATTTCTCGATCTAAGGAAATTCTAACAGAGAATGTGGTTCTCAAAAGATTTTGCATCCGAACATTTATTCGAAAATCTACCAGTGTATACACTACTTAAGGCCCTGTTAGTCATCATGTCCAATGCAGTGTATTCGGCGTAAGGGACAATCCATCACTGGAGCGGAGCAGGAGAGAGGCTGCAGGGCCTGAGGTTCAGGTGCCCTTTGAACTTGAGGTAGTTCCTGGTGCTCAGCTCAACTGGCCCGCTCAAAGTTTTAAGAGACAGGGAAAGCGATGAGGCAATTCCAGGCCTCTAAATCTGGAAAGCGCTCTGCAGTTAACATTCTATTGAATCAGAGTCTGAAAAGCACTCTACGCACAAAATAGTACATAAAAGGTAATTTTGAAGCTATTCTCGCAACATCTAGTCAAGGGGGATTCAGGCGTGGCACTTCAAAAGCCAAGCTAAGGATGACTGAGCCTGATGGCTGCAATTGGAGGGACAGCACTAGCAGCAGTGTAAAGGAGAGATTTGAATGAAGAAGAAAAAAATACTGCTAGCAAAAATAGGTTAGTCTTCTACACAGCAAAGCTGAAGAGACATCCATACTTGTAGGACACTAGCAGAAAACATGCTAGTAATGGGAGGGGTTATTCTGGACTGGCGTACAGTTTTTTTGTTTTCCAGTGTAAAATCCTCCAATAGCGGCAGTATAACCCGAAGAGGAAAGACTTCCCTTGGCCCACATTGGACGACAAAGAAAGTACGTTTTAGAAGGTGTAAATGTCTGTATATAGTAAAGCCTTTATTTTTCATATACACTGTGTATGGACAAACAAAAGTACATCCTTACTCAAACACAGAAATTCCCACCATCAGTGTCTTACCTCATCGTCGTTTCCACTTGAGCACTTCCGAGAAGACTTGTACTGTAAAAATAAAAAACCAGAATATAGACTTTTCTTAAGTTTTTGCAGAACAAAAAATTGTTACAACAGCAACAATTAAACATGTAAAATATAATTTTGCCCTAGAAAACGACACATTTGCACATTTTTGAGTGTACTTCTTTATGCTCCTAGCAATCTTCAATACATCAAATCTGCATAATCTACTCCATAGCAGGAGGCAACCTGTATAAGGAGGCATATAATCATGACCACCAAAAGCTCTAGTTTCAGCTGTTCCGACTATAAATATTTTTTTAAAATGTTTTTGATTAAATAAGTGAACACCACACAAGATGCCTTCCCTTAGCTTTGTAAGCCATGCAAGGTGATACTATGCCCCCCTCTGATCTTCGCTTCACTTTGAAAGAGCTCAACTTCTTTGTACAGCGCAGAGCTTCATTCCACCCTAGTTCAGTCTTGGCATCTATTGCCGCCTGTCCAATGAGAGTGCCTTTATTGACCACCAAGACTAACAGGTTTGGTTTGAAATACACCTGTACTGACAGAAAACCATAAAAGGATGGCAAAGTGGCAGAAAAAGTGAAAGCTCTACCCCACACGTCTACCGCAGGCATTAATTAAATATTTTAAACCTCTCTTATACTGCTTTGTAGAAAAGTGGGATTGGTTCACAGACCTTGACTTCTGAACTGGGGGTTAAAAATAGCTTACATTGTAAATACTTCAGGGGCTAGCAGATAACTCTGATTCATGAACACTCCTATGGGTTCTTGACTGTTCAAGTATTAAAGTTCCTTTCCACTACTTAAATATGTTAAATGAAAGGTAATGGGCAAACCTAAGATTGTAATAAATCATCGCATTTGTAGGGAAGTAAGCATTCAGATACATATATGCTAGTCCTCCATCTGTAGTTACAGAACTTATGACTATTTACAACCCAATGTCTTCCTGTAACTGTTGATTATTCCATATAAAAAATGTACTGAAAACTTGAATCTTTAAGAAGAGAGACTGCTAGATTAAATTATAGTCTTGTGTTTCCAATTACTGCTGACAGATGTGTCTTAGATACAATTATGCTATTAAACACACAAAACATACACTTGTAAAAGGCAAAAATGGCAGTAGATAAAAAAGACACACAGTTTAAACTAAAAGAGCTCCAGTGCCATCTTGAGGTAGATTATAATTACTGAATGTTGATTTACATCAATTCTAATCACAGTTAATGTTCAACATATAAACTTTAGGTATTGTGTACCTATGGAAGCAGCAATTCCACATACAAATATTGACATTGACAAGAAAGGGTAGGAAAAAACATGTGACGTGCAAGAAGATAGTTTGCTATATTAATAACCCATGGCTATACTGTCTTAACCTAAATTGCTCTTGTGAATTTCTCCTCTGTAAAGACAGAAAAATGGGAGCTACTCCTGCTGAATAGTTTTTTTTCCTTTCTTCGCTTCTTGGTGGCTCATTGCCCTGGAAAAGAAAAAATTCCAAATCAGGTGCCAGAGCACCCAGTGCGCACATGTATGTTCTCGGTCAGAGATTGTATAAATATATCCTTAAAATGTTCCTTTTAACCTCATTAAAGCAGGCCTATTAGTAAATTTACAAGCCTGCAGGAATTCCTGAATTATTACAAAGTACAGCAACAATATTAAAAGAAAAACAAAAGAAAAACTACACCCCTCATAATTAAAAATCAGTTATTGCACATACAACCGTTCCAAGGCCTGATAGGTGCAATCTTTTAAATCTATGCTATCAGTCTGTTGCAAGTGGGATAAAACTTTTGTTTGGCAGATTTATAAGTTGTTCCTATTTGTGCAATTATCTAATCAGCCAATCATGTGGCAGCAACACAATGCATGAAATAATGCGGATACAGGTCAGAAGCTTTAATTACCCTTTTACTGCCACCGGTGTGAACTCGATGGACTTGTGTCTCTTTTCAACCTAACTATGTAACTTTGGTGTAAGGCTTTGGTCTGCGCAGACTTTTAAAGACATTCCTGGCTGCGAAATGTTTACATTTCACATGCCAACTGTTGGCTATCTGGTAGAAGTGACTTGGGCAGCACTACAGCTACAACCCCCCCTCCATGTATCCTGGCAAAACGAGATTCAGCAGGGAAAGTCAGTTAGATGTGGATTTTGTCACGTTCGGTTTCTGAGCAGTCATCCACGATCTGATCTGTTCTTGATTAGGTTTGTTGGGGTCCATATATGACATTAGGGAGACTATTAGAACCCAATGTCTCAGTTACACTGTGCTATCACATAGCTGGCTCGTTGGTCTCTATGTTATAGCAATGAAGGTTAAAACGAATAAAGAAATAAGCGTATAACAAAAAGGTGACTGGGCCACACATTAGGTATTGCTGCACACGATGTAGTGAGCCCAATAATTCTAAGGCCATTATTCACAGTTAACTTGGTTAAACCGATGACCTCTAAAGGCTTTTAAAGCATCGCGTGTGGACTAATTTGTCTGCCAAAATTTGTTACCATTTCACGGGCACATGTAATTTTAAGGCTTGGCATGTTTCTTATCCATTTACTCAACATAACCTCATCTTTTATATTTGATCAAAATATTGGGAAATATATTGTGTTTGTACTATGTGGACTTTGACCATCGGCAGGCTGGTTTGAGTATTTTCATGCAAAACAGCCTCTAGACTTTACTCAGAATGGTTGGGGAAAAAAAAAAAAACATTCAGTGAGCATCAGTTCTGTGAACGCAAACACTTGGTTGATGAGAGAAGTTGGAGGAGAATGGTCAGACCAGTTTGAGTTGATAGAAAGGCTATAGTAACGCAGATGCAGTAGCGGAACTACCGCCATAGCAACCTACGCGCCCGAGCAGAGGGGGGCCCGGTGAGGACGAGAACTTGTACAAATAGTTCTTCTGCCGTCTTCCACTCCATCACTTGTATTACAGAGCAGCTGCGGGTGCTTGACCCCTCCCCTCCTTCCTGTCAGTGTGAGCTAGATAGTGCTCTGCTCTTACTGATCTCAGCTCTTTACAAATCATGATGGACGGCAGGTGTTCATGGAAGCCGCCTGGACATTCCTCCACACATGCGAACAGCATATTGAGGTGAGTCGTGCTGATCTACAAGTGGATTCATTTGTAACACTGCAGCCACCAAAGAAGCTGTGGAGAAAGGGTTATATTAACCCCCAACTTTATTGGTGGCAGCATTGTTAACCATTATACTTTCAAGCTCTAGTGTAGGCATACATTGTGCACAAACCCAGAGAATTTCTAATGGCACCCCATGCTAGCATTCCGCATGGCTGCGTGCCACAGTTGCCTCGGTGCAATCGTGCACAGTAGCAAAAAACACAGGTCGCTCATTGCAGAAAAAGGTACGACACAACCGCACGTGGTCCTAGGCCGCCAAGATGTGACCCTGCTGGGAAGAGAGAGGGCTGATTTCTGCACAATGCATACCTTTATTGAATTGGTGGGGGGATTGCCTCCCCACAGCTCTTATATTTGCTGCATACAGTTTCTAATAAATCTCAATGAAAATACTTTTTTTAATCTGTATTTCAAGTGGTTTATACCACAAAGCTCTAAATGTGCCTGTCAGCACAGCTTGTAGGCAGTAACTCTTTCAGGACCAACAATGCCTTATTGCTATGGACTTCGGTAGGATGACGTTACTGCTTTAAGGATTCCGCTTGAAAAAAAGATTCAAAAATAATATTTCCATTGAGATTTATTAGAAACTACTTGCAGCAAATATAAACGTTGTGGGGTGGAAACATTAGTGGGGGTGTTCAATTGCATTTTTTGGGAAGGGGGCCCCATAAAAAACTTTTGCTATGGGACTCTGTGGTTCCTAGTTACGCCCCTGCGCAGATGACCACTCTTTACAACTGTGGGTAATGAAAAAGCATCTCAGAATATACAACACGTCAAGGCTAAAACAGCAGAAGGCCAAATCCGGTTCCACCGAGGCTGCAGCGCATTTAGGCTCCACAGCAAGCATGCAATAGTGGTGGAGCTCCGCTTGATGTGTTAATACATCTGTGTGGAAACTGAGAAAGGTAAAAGTAAACCAATGCAGACATGGGACAATGTGGGCAGAAGACTCAATTTATAATGCAGATATATTGTCCCCCTTATGGGAATTGAACTTAACTCCACAAAGTGTGTGGTAACCAGTGCACAGACTTTACGTGAAAAAAAGCCAATGCTACCACCTAGTGTTATGACTGGTAAAATGCAGCTAGCTGTAGATAAAGCAAGCGGAGTGGGATGGTGGACACAGCCTTCTGTCATGAGATTATGGCTTCTACAAATAAGCAGGATTGTGAGAGTTTGGTGTCATTTACAGTGAGGCTGAATGACAGTTGAATCGGTCGCATCCAATTCATTTGCAGGATAACAGCACTGTGAATGTAAAAGGCAAACCGGTTGCAGCTGTCACTATGCATTACAATGCATAAGAAGCAAATTAGCTTCACATAATAAAAAAAGATATGGTGAAAAACCCAAGAGTAAAACAACCAAAATGTACTAATGTTTTTGTCTATTTTATATCATGAGAAGAGCAGTTGTGAAAAAAACACTGTACATATAAAAACCTTAGATGTGCTTAAAAAAAAAAAAAAAAAAATATTTAGGCAAGGAAATTATCAGAGGTTTTGTCAAGTTAAATGATGCTGCAAAATTTGGTTAGTGGCCATTGGTCACAAAGGGTTAAAAGGACAGTCAGCACTTGCATTATGAATGGTGTTTATAAAACTCAGAGATGAACTGAAGTATGCTTTTAAGGGCCTAGTCACACCAGATGTGTTGGAGCTGTGCTGGCCGTTTTTGTTTTTTTGAGCACAGCCCCAATGCAAGACAAGACATGTCTCGGATGGGCACAATTCACACCACTGGTGTGTATTGATAGTACTGCATACAGTACCTTTTTTCAGCACAGCACCGCACTGTGCCCACAGAACTGTCACATGTGCCAAGACACCGCGCACCAGCTGCTGTGCGATATGCTTAGCGGCTGCAGCGAATGGACCAGAAGGGCTTTAAGATTGATGAAAACCTTCGTAAAACTTCCTGTACACATTGCCCTACAAGTGTTCAGAAGCCTAAATTTTTAGGACTTTTTCCATTGACTGCTTTCCAGGGACAGTGGTAGCTTTTACATCTTTGTATGGAAATGCAAAGAACAAAAAACATAGAAATAAGAGTATTATGAAAGCAGTATGCAAAGAACATCATATTGAATATATTCCAATACCTTAAAATATTCCTTCCTGGTCTGCTTAGACCTTCGCCTTTCCTCTGTCTGCCACACTGAACTCTCTGCTGCTGTCCACCCCCGTTCGTTATTTCGATCCTTTTCTCCTCCCTACAGTAATGGACAAGAATGGGTTGCAGACTATGCAAAGTAAATACATTTAGCCCATGTTGCCAAGTGGATTTTGGCTTCCCAATAGACAATCAAATGTCTTTTTTTATATTACGCATCATACCTGAATATGTGCTATGGACAATTTATCCAAATTTTTTAGATATTCATACAAGGGTGGGTAAACTTCAGCCCTCCAGCTGTGGTGAAACTTCAAATCCCATCATGTATCCGCTTCTGGGAGTCATACCTGCAGCTGTCAGAGTCTTGCAATGCCTCATGCGATTGGTAGTGGCACCACAGCCAGGGCTAGAGTTTGCCCACCACTGTATTAGTAAAATAAAAAAATAAAAAAGACAAAATTACAACCAGAAATAAACAAACCTTAGCTAATTTGCTCCCAAAAAGTGTGAAATACAATAGTATAACTAAGCCCACGGAGTTCAACTTTGGCAACAAAAACAAGAGGCCAGTTTACCTTTTGCAACACAGATGGCTTAGCCAATGTTTGCAGTTTTCACATACACTATTGAATCACACATTGAAAATTAAAACACCGTCAGAGGAATTCAATATCACATTTGTGGCAAAATTCTGGAGCTAATGTAACCCAATTCTAAGGCCAGGTTCACACACCAAAGGTGATTTATTGTGCGGATTGGGTTGCGCAAAACACAGATTCACATTGAAGTCAATGGAGTCTGTTCACACCTTTGCAGTTGGCTGCGCGGACGAAACCGCCTGTCATGTAAAAAGGTGCAGGAGCTATTTTCGGGCGGTTGTCTGGCAGTTTGGGTCACATAGACATCTCTATGCAGTGACAACCGCGTGGTTTTCAATAAACAGTTACGCGACAATCGGGCGAAAACAGCTCAGCATTTGAATCGCCTAGGTGTGAACCTAGCCTAAAGCATGCTAGGCCATTTTCTGGACTTCTCCCGACTCTTGTGCCACATTCAAGAAGTTCTCATTTGCGTCATATTTCCTTCTGGTGCTGTGCTTACCACATATTCAATAAATAAACTCTGACAGTTCGGTGATGAGAAAAGTGATGCAAAGTAAGACCAAGTTTTGGTGTAACTAGTCTTGTCACACGTTCATATAGTATATGTCTATCACAGTTTGTGACACATACCACGGGTGCAACATTTCCTGAAACTGAGGATGAAATATGTCTCAGATACACCTCTGTCCAAAGTGTTGCATATGTAACACATCTATGTACTTTATCCGTGTGCATATAAATCGGTCCCAAAGTTTGCCTCGGAAAGTCCGTGCCAGTCTCATAGGTTGGAGCCAGGAACCCCAACACACTTTCCTCATGCGTCTCAACAACACTCTTTTTGAATTTCTGTGTGTTCTTAATTTTTAAGTCCCTAAATAACTTTTTATCAAAACAATATTTTTTATTAGAGGACATATACAGAAATAATGTATTATCATCTTATAAATATTTGCATAACTGCTGGAAATGCCAAGGGTCATGCAGGTAAGTGTCAGACATGATGTAATCAATGTCATTTGCAGTCGCAAGGTTAATGGAAAATAAAGCAATTTTTTTTTTTTGATGGGCTTTTGACCACATCAACCATATTTCAAACTTTTTTCTATATCTGAATAACATCACTATTTCTATTAAATATAGTAATTAAAATACACATTTTTCAGAATAGTGGTACCTAATGGGTACTCTTCATAAACATGTTGGGGCTGCGTCCAAATGTCAGGGTAGCCATACCCCTAGAAATAGACTAAGGGGCATTTATCAAAACTGAAGCAGAAAATCTGGAACCAAATCAGCTTCTCTCTTCAGTTTAGATTTGAAAAATGAAAGTGAGATGCTGATTGGTTTTCCCTGCACAGCTGCTCCAGATTTTCTCTGCTCCAGTTTTGATACATTCCCCTCAACCAGAGAGAGTAAACCAGAGAGGCACACATGAGGCTTTTCTAACAAAGGAAATACTAGGCATCTTGTGGTGCCTGCTTTCACAGAAGATTTTTATTTTCAAAACTTTGAGATGGCTGACCAATACATTTAAAGTCTGTCATTTTAAAAATTCCGAAATTCTGTCTTTTGAATGTTTTAGTGAAAAAGAAAACCCACCGATACAAAGACAACATATAGTCATTTTTTTCTGGAAAGCAAATATGGTTGTCGGAGAAGAACATGTGTTTATCAAGTACCGTCCTTACCGGCCAGCTGCATGGTGATAACTGTGAATGATCTCCAGGTGAGCCACTAAAAAGAAGAACACAAAAACACAATCACATAAGCACTAAAACCCTGTGCAAACACCATTCCTTGCCTCCCTATGTAATCTATATAGCAGAATATTTGTACACACAGTGAAGATATAGAGAATAATTACTTCCTCCCTCATCTCCTGTGCCATAATATAAATCAATTCTGAATAAAACCATTACCATTTATTTGTGCAAATGTCATAGCAATCGCTGCAGAAAAACTGAAAAATTGTGCAAACATACAAAAAATGTGTGTGCGTGTGTAAAAACATCAACTGTTTAAGTGCAATAATACTGCAAACATTGCAATTGCCTAAAAACCTTTTTTCTTCCACCATGATTATCAACAGTGTCCAAAATCAATCCCTCAGGACCCGTTCACACATATAGCGGTCAACTGTATCTTACCACACCAGATCAACGACGGCCACTGCTAGAACACATAGAAAACCATTGCTTTCTATATACCCTGTTCACCTCACAGAATGGGTGCGATGGGTCTAAATAGAATGTACACACTGTACACTACCGATAAAGTTACCGCAATGCACTTGCCTGCCCGCTAAAAACATAGCGTTTCAGCGGATGGACTAGTGGGAACCTGCCCTAATACAGTGCATCTATGTGCATTAAAGCAGAATTTTGTTTTCTTAACCCTTGCAGTGTGCCTACCCTCCGTGCCTTCCGCTTCGCTCTCCCTCTGCTGCAGTGATCTAAGGTCCAGTGAGTAAACACGTTCTATACACCAAGGGATATACCATTGTTACAGCGGAGGAGGAGAGAGGCGGAAGGGACCAGTCTAAGAGCAAGCCATCTCGGAGGATGGGGTAATTCCAGTGCACCGGCTACCATAAATCCATACCTCCGATGTGGAAACAAGGCTAACCGATTCAACTATGCACAAAAACATAGGAACTGGAGTGCCGAAAAATGGCAGCAGGTGCTCTGGACTGACGAGTTAAAATTTTAAATATTTGGCTGAAGCTGGAGGCAGTTTGTTCGCCAAAGAGCTGGAGAGCGGTACAATAATAAGTGTCTGCAGCAACAGTGATGCATGGTGGAGGGTCCTTGCAAGTCTGGGGCTGCATTTCTGGAGTTGGAGATTTTTTCCTGATCAATGGTGTCCTCAATGCTGAGAAATACAAGCAGATACTTATACATCATGCCATAAAATCAGGGAGGCGTGTGATTGGCCCCAAATTTATTCTGCAGCAGGACATCTTCCCCAAATATACAGCCAATGTCATTAAGAACTATCTTCAGTGTAAAGTGGAAGTTATGGTTTGGCCCCCACAGAACCCTGATCTCAACATCATGGAGTCTGCCTGGGATTACATGAAGAGACAGAAGGATTTGAGGCAGCCGACATCTCCAGAAGATCTGTGGTTAGTTCTCCAAGATGTTTGGAACAACTTACCTGCCGAGTTCCCTCAAAAACTGTGTGCAAGTGTACCTAGAAGAATTAATGCTGTTTTGAAGGCAAATATTGATTTGGATTTCTCTTGTTCATTTACTTTCAATTTTGTTAATTGATAAAAATAAACTATTACACTTTTATTTCTGAAAGCATTCTTACTTTACAGCATTTTTTCACACCTGCCTAAAACTTTTGCACAGTATTGTATATATTTATGCAGGGTGTTGCTTTGCATAAACTCATTTTGAATGAACGTTCTGATTACAACTTAAATTTGCAGTTCCTATTTTTGGGTTTAGAAATTAAAAAAGCATATTGTGAAGCTCACATGAAAATTCACCTGGCAGACTGATGACTGTTTTTATAAGGGCCAGGCCCTGAGGCTTTCCCTGTGATGCATTATTTGAGAAATGAATAAAGATCACAGCACTGTCAGGAGCAAGGCTTTGGATGTGGTTAAATTAACAGTTATCCCCAGTGGATACAAAAAGATTACCATAATGGAACTACACATCAAGGTTTTCGCTAGACATTTACTGAAAGCAGCACACTAACCAAGAATAATAAAAAAATATATATATACAAGATTTGGAAATCATTAAAATCATTGCATTCTGTTTTTATGTAGATTTTACACAGGGTCCTAACTTTTTTGGAATGTGGGGCTGTACTTCTTTATAGGGGATGTGTTTGCTTACAGTTTCTGAAAGCGTCCATCCAGCCAAAACTTTATTCTTAGTTTTGCATTGAGTGGGGTTAGAATTTGAACACCTCCCTGATTTTTATTGCTGTACAGGGCTTTGTTAGTGAGATCTGCACTCACTTCCTGCCGTGCAAACGTTTTACCAGACAGAATGTGGGAAGATCCCTGGCAATGTTGTGGTATTCGACCCTGGCTGCCTAACTGACAACTGGCTCTGCCCCTTTGCAAAAGGCTGAGAGCCATACCCTCCCCATCTGTAGCTCCAGTGAGTACTGGAGGAACAGAGGGAAGGGAGAGAAACCCTGTGGGGTTTCAGTGACTCAGAGCTGCTACTCTTCTAAGAAAGAAGAGCCGAGATCTGACCGATCAGCAGTTACAGGATCGCTCTGCTCTTGGTGTTAGAGCCAGAGTGTGACAGCTGCAGTGTCTTGTGCCAGCTCTAAGCAGTGGGGAGAGTATGTTTTACTCTCCTCACACTTCTCTTTTAAAAAAAACACTTTCTTTTAACTAGAATGCTAATCTTTAAAGAAACACTATAGCAGTTTCTATAGTATGGTGCGCATTATAAATTGTTACATAGCTTCTTTACAGCCTGACTTGCTTGAGATAAGGATGAGTGGCACTTGGTCTTGACACCATGAGAGTCTACTGCTTAATAAGGCAATGACCAACACCTAGCGGTGCCTGCTCTTAGGAAGGACATTTAAATGTAAAAACGTTACGAAACGCTGAATGGATACAAATATAAGAGCAGCCATTGCTGACTTTGTTTACAAGATGTACAGGCCCTGGATCTGCTTTCATTTACCTGGATTCAGTACCTTGTAATTCACTGAATGGAACATGCATGCAGAATGTAATTTTATACTATTCATCTAAAATCAGTGCTTTGTCCTGGAAAACCATGCAAATTATGAGGTCTTATCTGCAAACCTGTTCCTGGTCTGTGCTTTAGAGAGTATGAGAATGAGCACAAACAAATGACATCACGAACATGAATACGCTTTTAGATTGCTCAAAGAGCAAGCTTCACAAAAAGCTGAAATAGTGAACAGGTGCCTAGGTCGCATAAAATGGCAGAGATATGTGAATCACAACAATAGTTAACCAGAATTACAAAAATCTTAGCTGGTAAATAATGTATTTTAACTACGTATTTAGGCATCTGACTAAAGTTATGCTTTAAATTTCCTTACAAGCTTTAAAAAAGAAAATTGTACTTCTTAAAGTTACGGGCCTCGATAAATCTCAAATGGGATACCTTGAAGCCCGCCCAGCGGCTCTCGTCCTCTGGAAGAGCTTTTCACTGAATGAAGTTCTATAACTTAATGGTCTCCGTCTGTAGCCATATTTCAAACATGCCAACCAAACCCAAAGAAGATGGAGTAAAGAAGAAGAGGAAGAAGAGGAGGAGAGACCAGAAAGTGAAGGAAATGTTAGTTTTGCAGAAGGAAAAGAGAAGAGAGATTAAAAAAAGGCATATTTTAATGAAAGGGAAAATAAATTGGGAATGTAAAACAAATCAAATTTTCAAATGCTGCAGCACTGCATGCCAAGTGCTTTGGACAAATGGTACAAAATAGAGACTCAAAGAATATGAGCACCTTTGTGATATAAAAAAAACAGTTGCAGACTCTAAAAATGTAAACCTAAAATCCCACAACTTCCCAAGGCCACAGGTAAAAGGTTTAATCTGCAACACCAGCTCATTCACTTGCTGAATAATTGAAGGGAGCAAAGTAGTTTAAAAAACTGTGCCTATTCTTTAAGTCACAGGAGTCCACAAAAAAAGTCCACAAATGTCCAAAATGTAAGTCACTGCAGACCTAATCCACAGATCCGGTACACATACCTGTTGTGCTTTTCTTGTTGTAACAACTGTGCTGCTATTTTCCTCAGATCTGTAACTTCTTTTATTTCATCATCTTCCTCTGCCTCTACTAATAGCTGCTCTTTTTGAAGCCTGAAGGGAAAATAAAAAAAGTTCAAAGCCTTAACAATTTTACATATTCGCATAATTTTCATCTACATCAAAAGAAAATGGCACTTTGCTAAAACCTAGAAATACTAAATGTGTCTTTGCCCATCTGTGTCCCTAGTTTGGGAGGGGGGTTCTCCTTAGTTATGGTTCTGACAACCATCAACCGAAAACAGGGATACAAGCATTAGTTTAAATTAAACACACACGCACACTATAGAAAACAAAAAAACAAAAAAAAGTTTAGCTGGCTTTGATTTTGATATAAAAAAAAAAAACACTTTTCCATTTCAATATGCAGCTGCTATCATTTTCTAAATCTAAACCTAACAAAATTCACTTGTTGCATCCTTGCAAGTATGGTATCCTGGGGACAATCTGTGCATAAGTGGATATAGAATGCCTGAGATATCTATTATTCATTGGTTCGCTGCTTTCCTAGGAAAGCCTGCATTTAAAAAAATAATTAAATCTGACCACAAACCAATTATAGTTTTCCTTAACCAAACATGTCCTCAGCAAGTAAGAAGCAGCATAAAAAATAATTATAAGGCTGCAGATTTGGTTTTATGCCGCACAGGTACAGTTTGTGACATCAATTACCTTGATGAACGAAGATGAAGCAAAAATCGGTGACTCAGAAAAATACAATGCAAATATGTATTGCAAGGGGAGGCCAGAAGAGCTGCCAGTTGGGCATCACCAGCATTGCTTCTGAACTACTGCGCCAGACTGAACTATCTATATGTTTACTATGTACCTCTGCTCTTCTTCCCATTCTTCATTCTCATCTGCCTTCTCCGACTTCTCACAAAGTTTTCCACGTTCCTAAAAACACAATAGTGCAATTTTTATGATGGGGCATTTTAGAACAGAGACAGCATTGCTCACCTACATTATGTTAGGGTTACCTTAATATAAGAAACAAAAGGACCACTAAGCTGTACATCACCATGATCAGACAGCGTAGAATCTTCACCATTGGGATCGTATTCATAGCCATCCTGATCCTGACCTGTTATGTTGATAATGAGAGAACAAAGTTAACAATCAACTTATATTTTGCATATTCTCTTTTTTTTCAGCTAGCATCTTGTTTTTTTACCAGATGAAAAACGTCCCGCACCCAGAATAAATTGTCTCCACGAAGGAGCACATCTTTTGACACTGTACACTGGTACCTGGCTTCTAAAAATTTACATAAGCTCTTTTAGTTGGAAGGTTCAGTTCCAGAAATCTGTACACACTTACTTAGAACCAATAAAGCTGCCCATAGACCTTACAATTATCTGCAGATTTTCTGTGGTCAGATGGAAAAGGTGCAACCGATTCCTCCATCTACACTTAACTGTGTGGATGGAGTAATCTCCACCTGGGCCAATCAGTTGCATTTTTTCCATCTGACCACAGAAAATGTGCAGATAATTGTAAGGTGTATGGGCACCTTTACACTCATTGGCCCTGATCAAAGCAGCAATATCACTTAAACTATCACAGGAGCGAGTTTGGAGCGGTGGCTACTTTACAACACACACAGGGACCATGGGAAACAAAAGTAGCCTCCAGAAGGAAGGCCAGTGCCAGCATAAATTCAGAGATAATTTGAGGATCTACAGCCGAGTGATACACAAATAAGATACATTTTTGTTAATAGTTAAGGTACTTGAATGCATTTTGAAGATTTGATTCCCGAGTTTGGCGTCACTTTAGGATGAAATAAATAGTAATTAAAGTGTATTTCTACTTATTCAGCCATACAGGGATAACACATACTTCATACATGTTCCTATTCACATATGAACCATAACAAACCACTATTTAAAAAGGAGGGTTACAAAAAGTAATTGATCACTCTCGGCTTATTTTCTTTAAGCAGATTTGGGGGGGTTGCTATATGTTCAACCCCGTATCAAAAGCCAGCTATTCTGAAATAGATTTTTGTACCCACAATAAAATAAATGTTCTTGGGGTCCATTAAGGGACGCAGTTTCAGTTTATACTGCCATCTAAAAAGGAGGTCTGAATACTGGTGCAAAAAAAAACAAAAAGAAAAACTGAGGCCAGAAAGGCCCTTGATGCAGAGAGGCAGTAATTAATCTGGTCTATTTTATCCAGTATTTATAAACGCAAAGGCTTTGAGATCCAGAATAGGACGAATGTACCCTTTTCGCCTTGGTAATGGTGAACAGGTTAGAGTAAAATCATTGAAAGCGTTCTGTAACAGGAACTGGAGCAATAACCCCTTGATGCAAGATACCAGAGAGTACAAAGTGGAGATCAGACAGACACAGAAAGACACCCAACATGGGGGGTGAGAAAGCGGCTGGGAATTAAACTCAAGCTTGTAACCCTGGGACACCACCTCTTGCACCCAGGTATCAGGAATTTATTCATGTTAGGGTCCACAAAGGCCAGCAGACACCCCAGCTGGAAAGTGGGATTGCACCTTCACACCAAGCTTGTAAGGAAAGTTGCTAGACTTGGCATGCGAGATGTTTGGAAAGAGAAGCAAGTTTGGGGGGGCGGGGGGTTCTTTATATCTTCATAGAGAAACAACTGAAAAAGGGATTGTGAAGGTAAGGTTTTGGAGGCCTTGGGAGCCCTGTAGGATCCAAGGCTAGAGATATTACTTGTAAAAACAATAGGCTGAGCTTACAGTTACAGGGCATGGCGCATCGCATCCATAAGGACCAAAATGGCCTCTTTCAATTTAGGAGTAATAGCAGAAGACAAACTCCTCGGGCAAAAGCTTGTCAGAGACTGAAGTGATTTAATATCAGAGAAGTTTCCAATAGCCAAAGGCTCATCAGGCACTGAATTTGCAGAGGAAGGTGCGGTAACACATTTGGGGCCTCTGCAGTCAGGATCAGAGATAAGCTAGGCAATTTGTAACATAATATGTTGCATGAATGTAGTAAAACAAAACCTGCTTCGAGTGAGCAGCAGGTCCAGCAACACCGTTAGCAGAGCCAGAAAGGACTCCAAGGAGAGGATAGACTCCAACACTAAGAGGTACACAATTCCATGTTACAAGTGCAGCACAAGTTCAAAAGCAATGCGGACAGTTATGGATCCAGAAAGTGCTCAGCAGCTAGCTTAGCCAGAACCAATCTGGAAAGCACTCAAGTGCCCAAGGGTCACTTTCACTCTGCAACATCTGATCCAGTGCGTCCAGTCACATTAACACCAAAAGTCGAGACAGAGGACAACTTTGCTAGGTAGCTGCAAGAAGGTAAAGAGAGCCCCTGTAGCCAAATGGAGATAAAAGGTGGTTGAAAAGAAAAAAAATAAAATTCCTAGAAAAAAAATAAAAAATAAACGAGAAGTCTTGGGTCAACAGGGATCTGGCAAGCAACCTGAGGTATGCTGGTAGTGGGAGGGTTCATCCTGGACCAGCCTACAGTTTGCTTGCCAGTGTCCAATCCTCCTGTAGGCGGCAGTATACCCCTGAGGGTTTAAGACTTCCTGTGCCCCTCAATGGACGGAAAAGTGTGGTTGCTAGTGGAGGTGCTGTCAGGAACCTATACTTGAACCACCTGACCACCACAAGAGGAAGAAAGAAAATACTGGAAGTCAATTACATTCTTTTAACCATTTGAAGTTCAAGAAAAAACTGGATGAATACAATACAGCAGAAAACCTGTTCAATATCATATTTCATTATTTTCCCGCCTAAAAATGGCAACTTTTGAGAAAAATGGAAATACCTGCTTAGGGTAAGCTAATAAATATTTATTTTCGGAGAAAAGATTGACTGGTTCCCATTGTGTGTGCCATTTTCTATCTTCCCCTAATTATTTTGGCAATATCAAACTATTCCAAATTAAGGTTACCTTTATGGGACTCCTGTTTACTCCCTATTACGTGATTGTCGTTTTTCAATGCCTGGTCTCTTGATTCTGATACCTGAGAATGAAGGCTGATTGTATCATCGTCTGAAGGCTGGAAAAAGAGTAAAAGCTTGGATCACTGAGGGTTCCCTGGACAAAACTATTGTTCAAACAAACCCTCTGCAAAGCGAGTATAAAAGGGTTCTGCTGCCCTAAGCAACCAATAATTCTCAAACAAAACAAAAAAAAGGTTAAAATGCATTGTGATTGGTTGCTATGGGCAACAAACCATTTATAAACTGGCTTCATTCAGTGTTCATTAAAAACTTACTTCTGTCGCCGAAAGACGTTTATCCCCATTATCACTACCAATCCCAGAGTCAGGACCATGATTTTTACTTGGATAAAAGTCTTCAATGCTGCAACAAAAAAACATAATGGACATTTGTATTAAACAAATTAAGGCCACATCCACAAGGCCGCAGAGGGCTTTACACCGTCAAGAAGGGGAGTATTTCTGCACCCAAAAGTCACAGGTTTTTGCATACTGCTGCGGCCAGCAGCCAATAAAAATCAATTACAGGTTGATAAGACACCATGGCAATGCGCACTAAATCACACATCCGAGCAGTCACTTGCCTACAATAGTGTTTCCCAGAAAAAAAGGACACTGTTTTATATTTATTTTTTTTTGGCTCAAAAAAAACCACACACTAGGTCTTATTTTGGGGGGATATCTTATTTATTTTTTTAATGTATAACAATCCAAAGTGGGTGCAAATCCAAATGAAATAATCCAAATTGGCAAAGTTAAGAATAGGGTGATCAGGGCAATCAGGGGTGCCATACCTTTCCAAGAGCAATTTGGTAACCAGAAAAAGCAAAGCAGACTTTCGCTATAGATTAATCACAGGCGGAGGGCATTCGGTATCACTCCGTCTGTGACAGGAGCCGGCGCTATAGAGGAAGCATCAGCTTATGCGGCTCTGCTACCTGTGCTGCCGCCTTGCTTCCTCTATCGCTGGCTTCATTGGCACCGCTGATTCTCTCCCGCGGCTCTTCAGGTTCCCCCTTATGCCACCACCAGCCCTGGCAATGGTCACAACTAGGTCTTATATTTTAGCAATTCCCAAAAATAGTACTAGGTCTTATTTTCAGGGTAGGTCTTATTTACAGGATATATATCTATCTATATATTATATATATCTATCTATAGATCAATATATATAATATTTATTACAATGCTAAGTCACCAAATAAACATGGTTATTGACATACCTGTCTGTGAGAGGCTGTGAAGGCAGTCTTTTCACCAACGATGGTAGGTCCAGTGAATCGGGCTTCTTCTCTGTCCTGCAGCACGCGTGAATATTTAAAAACTTGAACATATGCACCTTCCCTTTCAGACAAATCTGCATTAAAATCAAAGCAAATAAATACTGTTACATAAACACATATCGCTAGTAACAAATGAAAATAAAAGGATAATAATACAACGCACAAAGTAATGGGTAAGTCAAACAAGACAAGGTAACTATACAAATAACTTTTCTCTGGGCTTGGATCACTGCGGGTCCCCTGGACAAACTACAGTAGTGTCCAGGCAGGGTGATATCTTTTCCTATGGCATCAGCAAGATGGAGACCTGGGCCAAAAGTCAATTACTAAACCTATATTCCCTTTAGTAGAGGGAAATAACGGCTTATGTATGTGAGAATTTTTAAACTGCATCAGAAATACTTTTGAAGCCCCTGAAACGCACGGATAACATCAATGGGATCACTAAGGATAAGCTACACTACTAGTTTTGGGTGCAGGCTGTACTAGACGTATATGAATGCAGTCTGCACTATTTAGTATTCCTCTCATTAGACATTCAAGAGACATAATGATCTAAAATCCAAGATTTTGTTTTCATCAATACACTGGTTTTGTAATTCACCAGAGAAAAGCGTTTGCCTGTGACAGGTTGCAACACCCATGCACACAATTTATAAAAATCACTTTGCTTCATGACCAATCTGTGAGTGACAGGGAATCTCTGGTAACATGAACCAAACTAGCAACGGATGCAAGTCCTACAAATCAATGTTTAGAACAGGAAACCTGAGAAATTACATTTTCATGTGTTTTGCTTACAAAACATTTTCATGCAGTGTTGTAAAGCACAAGAAGTACTGCTTAGTCAGTCAGTCAGCCAGTATATGTAGTTTGGATAAAGAAGATTAAACAGGTACAACCTCAGCACACCTAACAATCTGCTTAACCCCTTCGTGACTGACGACGTACAGTGTACGTCGCCAGCATCGGGGCTGTTTAAACAGACTCCCGGTGACTTTTGCCGCCGGGACTCTGTTTAAACTTGTAGAGCCGACTGTCAGCTTTACAACAGAAGCAATCCTGGCGACTTACCTGTCGCCAGATCGCTTCCACGTCCCGAAGAAGGACGCAGAAGGCGTGCTTCCCGGGCTCCGTTGCCCCTCCTACGGGCCCGGGACCGGCGATCTTGGTGTCCGCGGGGAGCTAGGGAGGAAGTCGACGAACTTCCGTTCATCGATCCCCTCCCCGTTCTATGGGACCGGGAGCGATGCAGATTGCATCACTTCCGGTCCCTGGGCTGTCAGTTCTGGGCTCCTGGAGCCCAGCTATAAGCTATTGAAGTGCGATCTGCACTTCAATAGCTTATTTCCAGTGTAAAGGTGACACTGGGGGTCTTTTGGACCCCCAGCATCACCTTAAAGAGTACCTGTCACCACCATCTGCTATCACATGGGGGGGCTTGTAAGCCCCCCATGTGATAGCAGTCAAAGTAAAGTAAAAAAAAAAATTTTTTTAAAATTAAATAAAATAAATCTAATAATATGAAAAAAAAATTTTTAAAGTCCCCCGCCCTCGTGAGCACGCGCGTCGCCACGTAAACACGCGTCGGGTGCGCCTACGCATGAAAACGACGAACGCGCTACACATGTTGGGTATCGCCGCGCACGCCGGAGTGAGAGCAATAATTCTAGGGCCAGTATTTTGGGGTATCTCTAAATTGATGACCTGTGGGGGCTTTTAAAGCGTCTTCTATTGACTTTTTGGGGTACTGCAGTTTTTCGCCGTTTCACGGACGCACGCAATTTGTAACCTATGCATGTTGGGTATCGTTTTACTCGTTGTAACCTCATCTTTTATATTTCATTTAAAAAATTGGTAATTTGTTGTGTTTTGGGGCATTTAATTAAATTTGTCACTAAATTTTGGGGTTTAATAAGGAGTTGCGCTAATATTGCGCAACATAAAAATTTTCAACTACCACCATTTTATTCTATAGGGTCTTGGCATTCAGAAAATATATAATGTTGGGGGGTTTTACGTAATTTTCAGGCCTAAAATGTGGAATATAACATGGGTACAAAAAATGAAAAAAGGCCTCAGTCATGAAGGGGTTAAAAGGTAATGTAAACCCAAACCACCCAATTTCCATGATTGACCGTGACCCACATCAACATATTTGTGCAATGCAATGTAAAGCTAGCAGTCTCTACAATCTGATTTTAACATGTATTTCCAGGTTTTTTTTCAGATATTTTGCATTCATTGGGGAGGCTGGACTAATCACAGCTGGAAAATGACAATAGCCTGTCTGATCAAGTGTCAAGAGACTTATCCAAAAATCTCTAAAGAGAAACGTTACCTTGTCAGCTGGCTGCGGGCCACTTAGTACCGGCTCGCGGGCCGGAGGTGGCCCGCGGGCCGGTACTTTGAGACCGCTGATATAGAGCTTCATGTTGATGTGATTTTTAGTGACAGGGAGTAAAGGACTACTTTAAAGAAACAATGCAAATTAGGAAAAGATATGACATTTAAAGTAACCACAACTTGTAAGAGTTTCATGATCGAAATGTAGATAAGACCTGACTGTCAGGAAAACCACATGATAAACAATGAATGAGTTGACAGGAAAACAAAGTAAATTTTGCTCTATAGTCATTTAAACAGTCGAGTCATAATCAGATGTAATACAAAAACAATGCCCACATTTCTGAAAACTTCAGTGGGATACAAATTAAAGAATTTTGGTCTATTAGGCATCAGCATAATGTCATAAAATGAAGAGCTGCTTAAAATACTAAAAACACAAATAAAACTTTAGACCATTCACACCATACTGGTGCATTAATTTCACAACACTGTGCGATTAATATACGCTATCGCAAACAAACTTAGCACTTAATACTGTGCACTAGGTGTGCATTGCCATTCGTTTGAATGAATTTGTAGAAATGTCACCAGCACACGAATGGTTCAATGAAATAAGCAAAAGTCCACTTATTGAAGAAACATCGCCATTCAAAAACTAGCGCTTTCGGGGCCACACAGGGTCCCCTACATCGGGCTCAGAATGAGCCTGATGTAGGGGACCCTGTGTGGCCATGAAAGCACTAGTTTTCGAACAGTGACACTGTGGCGCTAGTTTTTGAACATCGCCAATCAAAAACTAGTGCTTTCGGGGCCGCACAGGGTCCCCTTCATCAGCCTTTTTCCGAGCCTGATGATGTCATGATGAAGGGGACCCTGTGCGGCTCCGAAAGCGCTAGTTTTTGAATGGCGATGTTCCCTCAATAAGTGGACTTTTGCTTATTTAATTGAACCATTAGAGCGCTGGTGACATTTCTACAAATTCAGTTTCTGCACAGTGCCATCCGTGATTGCTGCAAGCACCCACCTATATATCAGGTATTTATATCCAGGGAGCAGTGCAACAAGATACATGTTTTAGACATCCATTTGAATGGCACCCCAAAGCACCGCCTGGCCACTAAGCGCTGCGTCCGCAAAGGACAGTACCACAATTCCGTGTGTTGCGGTGAAAACAAGATGAATGCATCCACTATTTTGCAACGCGACATATTGCGATACGGCAGCACACAAAGTCCAGGAAGTGCTTTGGGATGCCATTCAATTAGTGTCAATGCACCTAGTGCATAGTAAAGCATTCTAGGTGCGTTGTGCAATAGTGTACCATTAACATAATATAGTGCGATTAGGCCCTAACTCATAAATAGCAGGCCCCTAAAATCACTGGTATTTACACTGCCTCAGTGGCCAAAGTAATGATAAACTGGCTCACATACAGTATTACAATTTATATAATCTGATTGTCTGCGGTCATTAATGTCTATGGGTACCTTTCCCTGTGCTGCCAATTGACATGAAGAGGTAAAAGGGTGGGCAAAACCATTTTCCAGTTACCAAGCAAAAAATCGCATTTCCACAATTAAAGAAAGGCAGGTAGACATGCTTTTTAGTTGAACATAGTGATCAGTTATTAATTTTAAAATGATATCCTGCAAAGCACATAATCACAGTTGTATGTCCCCAGGCAACTTGGGTGAGTCAAGGAAAGGTCCATTATTCATTTAAAGCAGAAAATCCTGTTAGATGTTATTTGAAAGCAATAAAAACTACTTCTTTCTTTTCAAAAAGCAGAACACATTTTATAAATCACAGATGTTAAAACTGGGTTTATTACAGGAAACATTCATTACTGGCTTGCACACTCACCTGTGCTGGAGGGATCTGCATTGGATTATTGTCCAATAATAACACTTCAAGCTGACTCAGCTTCCTGTAACTAACTGGGATTTCTGTAATCTTATTACATGAAAAATCCAGTTTTACCAAAGGAAGTGAAGATAACTCTAAGGGAATACAAAACATAACATGTAAACATTTTGTACAGTTCATTTCAAGCTAGTATAATATTTAGAGATGCCAAAGAAATCTAAACAGACATATAGGCCTATAAAAGAACCACAAAAAAAAAAATCAAACAATGCTCAGTAATCACACCTCCCCTGAGGAGGAAGATTTGTCATCTGACAGCTGATCAGTAATGCAGAGCACAGATAAGAAAATCTCACTGGTTGCAGGAGGCACACAGCAGTGAAACCCGCTGTAAGTGTGCAAAGCTCCATTTTGCAAAGCATCAGCTATATGTTACAACCACTTATATCCAAATAGGCATTAGCTTTATTAGCTTTAACAGCTTAAACTGCTCAAGCTTTGAATATATCAGTACCTTAACCACTTCAGGACCACAGAATGTACCTGTACGCCCTGATCTTGAAGTAGCTATAACAAGATCATGGCTGCTGCTGCAGACATAATCTTGGCACTTGTTTCTAAAAGGTTCTGCTTTTGTCTCACAAAACACTACATCACTTTCCCCTATACATTGCTTTACTCTCATCAGTCTTAGTGCTTTATGTTTGCTCACTTAATACACACTGAGATCACATACGAAATAAATAAAAGCAAATCTTAGAAATGCAGATTCTAGAAAATTTTCAAGAACATCCAATCTACTTAATGATGTTTGTAGGTTGTTTGAGCAGCAAACATGAAGTTGTTTGAATGATGGTGTCTACAGTCCTTACAACAGAAGACAGACATTCCCATGCCCACATTAATACTCCACAAGGCATTTCATTGGTGCAACTGGTAGACAAAGCACGTTTTCAAAGCTACAACAAAGCTTACCATCAGGCAAGACTTGGAGATTGTTTCTTCTCAAATTAAGTTCTCTGAGTGAATGGAGTTTTCCTACTTGTGAAGGAAGAACTTGTATTTCATTACAGCTGACATCCTGAGAAATGCAGGTAACCGAATCAAGATTAAAGAACACAAGACGACTATGAATCACAACAGCAACAAAAAGAAGACATGTAAAAGAAAGTGCTTACCAGCTCCATTAAATCTCTTAATTTCCCAACCTCTTCGGGAATAGAAACCAATTTATTATTACTAACGACCAAAACTTTCAGTGGCAAGTCAAAGAGATATTTTGGCAACGTTGATAAAAGATTCCGACTGAAAAGAAGAAAATAAGTCATATTCAGGAACAATGATTCAAAGTAGAACTTAGAAAGTAAAAAAAAAAAACCACAAAAACAAAAAAATGGCTAACTGAAATGTTTGAGAGCAGCCACAAACATCAGGTGCGTTTATGCAAATAAGCCACTTACCTGACATTTAAATATGTTAACATTTGAAGATGTTTAATGGTTTCTGGAATGCACTTGATGCAGTTGTGATATAAATTTAAGGTTTCAAGCGGTGCAAACAGGCAAACGTCATGTGGAATTTCTAAAAATCTGTTTTTTGAGAGGTCTAGAGAAACAAAAACAAATAAGAGGTGGTTAATATGCATCATGTGGTACTGTGCATGAGGTCTGCATGGGGCTTAACCCACCCTCTTGTACCACAAGATACCTGTAAATATTTCCTGGTCAGGCCAGGCATTTATTTTGCATCGAGGATCTGAAATTACATTTACAAAGAGGATGGGGAAAGGGTGTGTGCTTTTGGTTGCAACTGCAGTTCTATTTTCTGTTGACATATTTAAGCCACAAGCACCCCAAAAAGACACACAAATTAGATATATCTGGTCAAGAGGAAAATAAGTTCTTGAATATAGCAGTTAGGCCCCTTTCACACAGGTTGATCAGGAAGAGATCCGTACACTGATCCCCTCCTAATCTGAGCAATATGGATGAAGGAAGAAACTGGAACCAACGGACCCCATGTCGGTCCATGGGGAATTGGATGTAAAACAGACAAGTGTCCATGTAAATCAGATCACACTCAGTCCAGTACAATCAAGTCCGCTGAAACAGACCACCGTTGCGTTTGTTTTTCCAGACCAGGCCGGAGTAACTGAGTGTAAACAATGTCTGTTTACACACAGCTGCCCATAGACTAGCATAGAGCATCCAATCAGGTCCACCTGAAAAACCCGCCAATAGCCATCCCATCGGTAGTGCGCTCACCATCTTTATTGTTTCCACCTGAAAAACCGACAACCAAACCCTATCTCACCGACCGTGTGAAAGGGGCCTTGAAAACCAGAATTTGGAAGAAGGATTCAATCTCACTCCTGTCTGTCGACATGAATAGTTACATAGTTGTCAAGGTTGAATAAAGGCCCAGGTCCATCAAGTTCAACCTACGTGAGTGTGTATGTCTGTTTGTGTACAAGCTACTAAGAGTACCCCTGTATATTGTGCTCTCTGAGGAAAGCATCTAAATGGTTCTTGAATGAGTCAATAGCTGATACCACTTCCTGGGGAAGGAAGTCCCACAATTTGAAACACTCTTACAGTGAAGAATCCCCTTTGCGGTTTAAGATTAAACCTTTTTTCTTTCAATTTCAGGTGGTGACCTCATGTCTTCTTGAACTAACAGTAAACAATTACAGATATTACCATCATCATTAAACAAGTGTTATATTAGTACCATGTCCCCTCTGAGTCTCCTCTTTTCCAGAGTGAACACATTTAATGCATGCAGTCTTTCCTCATAGCTTTGGCCCTCTGACCTTTTTATTAGTTTTGTTGTCCCTCATCTGGACTCTCTCCAGCTCAAGGACATCCTTTCTGTGGATCGATGACCACAACTGAACCGCAGATGACATTGAACCATTGTTTTGTCAAGGGGCAGAATGATCTATTTGTCCTTTTTTAATGCACGATAATACTTTACTAGGCTTATTTGCTGCAGCCTGACATTGCAAGCGGTAAATAAGGCTGCCGTCAACAACAACCCCTGCATCATTTTACACCCCTTATTCCCCCAGAGGAGCTCCCATTAATGGAGTAGCTTTGCATGCAAAATGTTAACCCTAAAATACATAAACTTTATATTTTTAAATATTAAACCTCTTCTGCCATGCAGGTGTCCACTTCCCTATTTTATCCAGGTCTTCCTGCAATACTATGGTCCTTTGGAGAGTTTGTCACACTACAAATGTTGGTATTGTCTGCAAATACTGACCACTTAGAGAAGGAGGAGCCATTTATTGACACTATTTGGACACATTCCTGCAGCCAGTTCTCCATCCATGTGCACACCATTTCATCAATACCCAATGACTGTAGTTTGTGTAATAAATGGAGCAGAATTAGAGACCGATACAAAGAGGAGAGGGCAGGGCTTGAAAGCAACCGATAATGCCTGCCAAATACCAGTAGAGGTTTATTAGAAAATAGTCGTTTTCAAAACATTTGTCAAATTTAGTAATAGATAATAGTAGGGATGCGCCAATACTTTTCCTCAAGTACTCACAGATACCAATACATTTTTAGTTTTTTACATTTTAGTGTAATATGACTAAAACAATACACAGACATGATTTTAGGACAGTGGTGGAGCACCAGGGCCCAGTCACAGCTACAACCGATGTGACCCTGGTAGCTCGGTCACTGATGCCAAGCTGTAGAGGGACTACAATTCCCAGCAATACATTATACAGCCATGCAGAATACCACCAGCTACAAACCCCAGCAATCCATCCAACAGCAATGTAGAAAAATATGAAGCTACATACTCTGTTACTCACTAGGGCTGTGTGCGGGCTCGCACTAGGACTTCTTGGGCAGGAAGAGGAGGAAATGTGTGGCTGGACCGGCACTGTAAAGCACAGCAAGCGCCAGACCCTCAGGCAGCTGCTCATGTTTAAAAATTGTTATCGGTGCAACCCTTTTAATAGGGTTGAATCAAGGATCAATTTCGACTGTAGTGATGAAAAACAAAATTTAAGCAGGATGGAAAACTTTTGTCCAATGAACGAAAAAGTAAACATGAATGCGGTTTCCAACACACACACACACCAAAATTGAATGCTAAAACCAAGGGACATTTCAAATGTCATTCTAGAAGTCTCAGACAGCATTATCGGACGCTCTAAAAAATGTTTTTAAACGAAAGTCTGTTTAAAAAAAGCTTACAAGTGTATGGCCAGCTTAAGGATAGACAAAAAGGACTTCCATTGCCAAGGAAAGCTGAAGATGCAAGGTCACCTGAAGCATGCTACCCTTTAAACAGCCTGACCATACACACATTACCGGAATGCATTGGTTGTGTCACCAATGTGCTAGGTCTAGGGACAGGAATAGCTGTTCCATGAAGAGCCATGGATGAAAAAGTGGGCTAGGGCAAAACAGCAGCTGCACAAACTTAATTAAAGTGCTACAGTATTCAGAGCCAACTTGTCTTGTACCAGTTGATGGAGAAAGTTGCCCGAGTCTAGGTCCACTTTAAGATGAGCTTCTGCCTACCAATGAGTCTCAGTGGATATCCCAAGTACTTACGGACTACATATACCCCAATTAAACATTCTTGCTGGGCAATTACATTTTGTTTGGTATACAGTGTACATGCTGTGGTGTTTATTATATACTCCACAGTGTAGCATACACTATAATATACAAAGTTGATGACTCCACTCTGTACACTATGATGTACATTCCTTTCTGCGCACCACTCTGTACATTATAAACTCCACCCAGCTTCATATTAGACATTTGCTATATGTTGTATACACCATAACCACCATCCCCCCATTAACTTACCCCGTCTCTCGCCTCATCTCCTGGTCGAAAATTTGAACTGCGCATGCGCCTGCCACAAGACCCTTTGCAGCCACCTGAGAATGTTCAGGAGTTCGGACGGGAGCGCGCAGCAGAGACACAGATACGTTTTAGCAAAAACAAAAAATTTTCCCTGAAAGGGGATCCCACTGTTGTTTCGAAATTTAGGTATACAAAAATGGTTTTTCATAGAAAATATTTATTAAATATATTAAAATTGCACATATCAAAAAATTCTATATCAAAAACATATACCGTATATACTCGAGTATAAGACGTCCCGAATATAAGCCGAGGTACCTAATTTTACCACAAAAAACTGGGAAAAAGTATTGACTCGAATATAAGCCAAGGATTAGAGAATTACAAAGCTGGAAAGGATGAACCAACCCCTGCACCACTGAACATGTTTTGGATTTGAAGTACATCCATATACCACTGGATCTAGCCACACAGGATCTCCCTTCTGATTGAAATCTAATCAGGAAACGAATTAAAGCAGCTGCTCAGTAAAGGCTTGTTCCCATAGTGGACAACTAAGCCGAGATAGAGCTATTATCTCCTGAGATACAAGCCTTGCTTCCTCTGGCGATGTCTCCATTGGCACTGCTGATTCTCTCCTGCGGCTCTTCAAGTCCCCCCTTATGCCACCACCGGCCCTGGAAATGGTCACAACTAGGTCTTATTTTCGGGGTAGGTCTTATATTTTAGCAATTCCCAAAAATAGTACTAGATCTTATTTTCGGGGTAGGTCTTATTTTCGGGGAAACAGGGTATCTTAGAAAGCACATATGCCGGACGAAGAAACCACCTTGATCCTGTAACTTCAACCCCAGGAAAACAAAGTATCCTTCAGCAGAAGTTCACCCATTGGAGTGATTGATCCTTTCTATACCACTCGTTCTCCTACTCTTCAATTTTGGACGAATCTATCACTTCAGAAAAAGCATGTGTTCAGTAAAAGCATATTTCTACATTATTTCTACATATTTCTACATATTTCTCGCAAAAGCCGAGATGAGGCTAGACATCTCCTGATCCATCGACACATCAAGCTGAACACATCTACACTAAGGGAACAACTACTCCGATTGTTCAATTTTTGCCCTTGGGTGAACATACACAGTACTGTGAGTGAAATGTATATATTCTTTCCAACTAAATGAGACTTTTTGAAGTTTGACTGTTTCTTTCCTTTAATATTTTTTCATTTCTTTTTCCATATAGGTTTTTCGGTGGAGAGATATATATATATACACATATCTTTTTCACCGTTACCATAGATCCGATATCTCCTCTCTAAACCAAGGAGAACTCGAGTCATAATAGAGTTCTTTGATAATAAATTGTTACATCTTTATAGAGTGAAGCGCTTCACGGTGTGCCGTTAACCCACGTTTAACCTATAATTGACCGCACGCATGTTTTCATTTACTAGCCGTATGCAGTCATTTATATGTGTGTATATGCTTTTGATATAGATTTTTTGATATATGTGCAATTTTACGGTGGGATTCCCCTTTCGGGGAAAAATTTTTGTTTTTGCTATTAGATATAAAAGGGGACCCTCCATTGTATTTAAATTTAATCTTCATTGATTATTATTACACTTTTTTCAATCCTTCTCACCGCATTATATATTACAGATAAGTTTTAACCCTTTTGAAAAGTTGTTTTTTTTAAAATGTTTTTGCATATATCTACTGCTTACTAGGAGGTAGATATATGCAAAAACATACGAGG